TCTCTTTGAAATTTGGTATTCCTGCATGGATCCTGATGAGAGCAAGACAAAAAGCTTTGTTATCAATCATCAAGCTCTGAATTATCAAGTGATGATTCCTAGCCAAAGTATTAATGCTGGAGATCAGCGGGATGCTCACCATATTCTCTTCTTTTTTAAAAACTGATCTAATCACATTCATTTATAGCTAGAGCACATTGAAGCAACAAGAGTACTTATAAGTATGAAGTTAACTTGGGAATAAAGATATTATAAAACCTTATTCCTTAAACTTTAACAAAAACTTCTTGGACAAGTCTTTTACTTTCCAACACAATGTGACAATACCATGTGAGTATTAGAATAGGATCATAGAAACCCTGCAGGGTGAAAGCAGGCCATTTGGCACATCAAGTCCACACTGACCCTCTGAACAGCATCCCATCCAGACCCACCCCATTCCTGTAACCCTACATTTCCCATCTGTGTAGCTTGCACATCCCTGCTCACAGTGAGCAATTTAGCATGGCCAATCCACCTAACCTGCACATCTTTGGGCTGTGGGAGGAAACCAAAACACCCAGAGGAACCCACACAGACACAGGGAAAATGTGCAAACTCCACACAGACACTTGCCAGAGGGTGTAATCAAACCCTGGCACTTTGAGGCAGCAGTGCTAACCACTGAGCCACCGTGCCATCCCTATCAATGTCTAGTGCACCACTGAAGTGTGAATTTCAATGAAGGACAAACCTGTATCAATATTCTTCACATATTTGAATCAGTAAAATTTCAATTGCTCAACAGCAATTTGAAGAACTCCTTTATGGTGACTGCCCTGAATTCCTCCCTACCTCCTCCTTTGCCAGTTAAACTTGAGTCTGCATCAGTTCTATGCCACAGACAAAGTAAATTCTGATTCCATATCCCTTTCTAACAACTATTCATCAATTTCCCATAGCCCTGGTCAAACAAAAGGAAACTTTTATAATCAGTTTCATTAACTTATGAACAAGCAAAGACAATTAGAGCCATCAAGAGCACAGGCCTGAAAACGTGCTGTCCTGAAGGTTTCATTACCCTAATGAATTCACTCCCCCTCAAAATCATTGGCACAATCTTCAAGGCCTGGAGGTGGGAAGTGAACTGAACTGAATCAGACAGGACTGGAACGGTGGACTAGAATCTGGCCATCTTCCTGACCATGCTGAATTAAGTTTTGGTGAGTAGGTCCAAGATCCACCTTTCCTCCTGACTGCCATTTGAGGTCTTTAGTGGTAAATGACCACTGGTTAACCAGTGCAGGCAGGCTGCCAGTTTAGGTGAGGGAAATGGGTGGTCATAATAATATGGGTGGGTGGACTGGATCTCAGAAAGGACATGGTCAGAGAGTCAAACCCCCACCTTTGCTTCCGAAAGCCCCACCTCCACTTGGCCAAACCCAAACAGCTTAAACTTGCTTTTGCCATGGGCAATTCTTTATCCTGGGAGTGTTCTGACAAAGTCAGGGACACCGCCTCTGCAGCATTACCAGGTTCAGCAGCCAATGGGACTCCTTGGTCCAGGGTCCACATTCCAGTAGAAAACCTACTGAATGCCAATCAGATGCCCGGTTGCCATAAGATACCACAGGCTTTCTCAATTTAGTAGGCTACAATTTTCCTTCCTGAAATCTCTCCCACTTTCAGAGTCAGTCCAAAGATAGAAACGTTCGGCTTGGTCTCTCAATTACACCCAGAAAAAGAAGGAAAAACGTCAATTTGTGTAAGAGACAAGAGAACCAATATTAGTTGCTACAAGTACAAATAATTCTAATGGAATGACCTTTCACTTTATTTGGCGTTTTTGATCTTTTAGCTCACACCATTATAGGAACACAGCTCACAAAACATTTCTTCATGACAGAATCACCTGAACTTTTCCAAATATAAAAAAAGAAAAAATTCTGTCCTTCATTTAGCCAGCATTCCTTTGTATCGCTCACACCACCAAACTTGTAATAGAGCAGCAATAACTCGTACTTGTAATCCATCAATGAGGCCAGAGGTTGCAGCCTGGTGCTAGCTACAAAACAGAAAATCACAGGCACCTCAGAAATTCAGTCAGTGGGTGAATCACTAAATTTTCTGCTCCTCTGTGGTCATCAATGAACACTGATGATCGTCTTGTTCTCCACATTCTTCAAAACCTCTCCCAAGTCATTGATATTCTAACCAATAGCGACACTCTCCTTTTCAATGGTTTGATTCTTGATGTTCATGGCTTGATGTGTTGTACTATGTGGAAGCTCCCAAATTTGATCGTTGGTTTATGCAAAATTGAACAGATTTCACTTGTGGAGACAGGAGGTCCTCTATATCCGTATGCTGGCAAAAAGCTTCCTAAAGAGATACACATGCATAGGGAGATAATGGCCTAGTGATCTTATTACTGAACTATTAATCCAGAGACCTAGGTAACGTTCTGGGGACCTGGGTTCAAATCCTGCCAATGGCAGATGGTAGAATCTGATTTAAATAAAAATCTGGAATTAAGAACCTAACGATGACTGTGAATCCATTTTCAATTATCGGAAAAACTCACGTTATCCTTTAGGGAAGGAAACTGCCATCCTTACCTGGTCTGGCCTACATGTGACTCCAGACCCAGCAATATGGTTGACACTTAACTGCCCTCTAGGCAATTAGGGATGAACAATAAATGTTGGCCTGGCCAGCGATGTCCTCATCCCATGAACAAATTTTTAAAAAACGCAGGAATAGATCCAGTTGTTTTCCTTCCCTGCCTCCTGGCAGTGATTACAACCCGTTAAGGGCACTATATAAACACAAGTCATTGTTGATGTAGGCTCACACATGAAGCACAGATCGTTGAGTGAGATATCAATGACTGTCAGTGTATGTGGGAACTGAATACTTATTGTGTATGTGTGTGTCTGTGTGGGTGGGTGGTGGTGGGGGAGGAGAATGAAAATTCAAAGAATTCCCAAAACACCTTGAAGGAAATTGTAGGAGAGGAGCTTCAATAGCAGCATTAAGAGCAGGTCATTTTCTGGAGCTGTATTCAGATAGAAACTCAAAAGTGACATTGTGCAGATGCTGGAAATCTGATATCAAAACAAAATATTCAGGTCTGGCAGAATCAGAATATTGTTGAAAGGCACAGATTTTCTACCTTAACCTATTTCTTTCCAGCACGTGCTGGCAGACCTACTCAGAATCTCCAGCATTTTCATTCAGCGAGAAACACATTAGCAACATTAGTGACTCCAGACATGCATAGGGAGATGATGGCCTAATGATATTATTACTGAATAAATACTGGCAATGTGTTTGACACTTAACTGCCCTCTGAGCAATTAGGGATGGGCAATAAATGCTGCCTAGCCAGCAACGTCCTCATCCTGTGAATGAACTAAAAAAAAAACTCATAACAAGGACAAGCTTCCGTTCAACATCAAACATCCAGACGTTTCTGGGTTTTGACTGTGGAACTTGATAGGTTTAAACCTCAGCCCAAGGAAAGTTTCTTCTGGTTTATCCCAACCAGGACCAACCTATCATGTAGCAGAATTGCAAGAATGACTATCAGAAGGGAAAATACTCATTCACCCCTTGCCCATTGAAAATTTGAACAGTCACCTCTCCCTCCAGGCCATTCAGCCCATCAAATTTGTTCTGGCATTTAATGAGATCATGGCTGATCTGATAATCCTCAATTCCCTTTTCCTGCTTTTTGCCCTTCGAACTTACTGCTTAAGAATGTCTCTCAGCTTGAATATACTTAACAACGCAGCCCCCTGCACTAATGCATCCCAGATCCATTACCCTAAGAAGAACATTTCTCATTTTTGTTTTAAATAGGTAACCCCTAATTCTGGGATTATAGCCCCTGCTCCTTGAGACTCCAACAAGGGAAAACAACTTTGCTGTATCTACACTGCCAAGCCCCCTAAGAAACTTGTTTCAATAAGGACTCCTCTCATTCTTCTAAACTCCTCGTAAGAAAATCACTCATTCCCAGAATCAACCTTGTAATCTTTCTCTAGACTGCTTCCAAAGGAACTGTTCGCTGTTTGATAAGTGCCTTATATAGTTTTAGCAAGACCTCTCCATTATTATAATCCATTCCCTTTGAAATAAAAGCCAACAATCTATTTCCTGTCCCTATTACCTGCTGAACTTGGATGTCAACATTTTGTAATTCATGTATGAAGACCCCAAATCATCTGTGTTGCAGTTGTCTATCTCATTTAAATAATATTCAGCTCCTCTACTCTTCTGCCAAAGTACATAATCTCAGATTTTCCCAAATTACATTCCACCTGCCAGATTTTTGTTCAGTCACTTAATCTGTCTATATCCCTCTGCAGACAGTCATCCTAATCACATGCCTAACCACCTTTTTTGTCAAATGCAAACTTGGTTATATACATTCACTTTCCTTATCCAAATCATTGATATGTTTTGTAAATAACTATAGACCAGCACTGATCCCTGTGGAATTACCACTAGTTACAGGCTGCCAGCCTTTAATCACCATCCTTTTCCCAACTCTGACTTTTATTAGTTACCCAATCCTCAATCACAGCTAATATATTACGCCAACTTCATGCAATCATCTTATTAACTAGCCTTATATGTTGTATCTTAGTGAAGGCTTTTTGGAAATCCAAATATATTACATCAACTGGTTCCCCTTTATCTACCTTTGTGACCTCCTTAAACCACTTGGAAATCCCCTCATTCAGCGAGAATAGAGCATGGACAATTTCCAAATGCAGTTTGAGCTTCTGCTGAATTGGGGAGTGCTAAGAATATGTGGTTGAGACAAATGATATATTCGTTTATGTTGCAGATTTGAGGGGAAGAAAAGAAATGAAATATCCTCAAGGGGTTAGACAGTGAAGGGTGTGAGGACAGTCATATGAAAAAGCAGGCTGAATGGCCCGCTTTGTAAAATTATGACCACAGTGTAGACATACCATACCCCAACAGAAACTTCTCTAGGAAAGCTCAGCTGAATATACTACAAATTTTATTCCAAGTTGGTCCTGGTCAAAACTGCACTCTCTGAAATCAGGTCCTTTAACTACTAATATCAAAGGTAATCATTGATCCTATTACATATTCTTAAGAGTGAGGACAGAAATATACAACATGGAGTTAGGGGCAAGAAATATAATGAAAGCAGGAGATCTTGGGCTGCTCATCACAAAAACAGCTTTTTCATGTGGCAGAACGGAGCAGATTTCTGCAGCATGAACTTCTATTGATAGTCAATGGCAGGAAGAAACACAATTCAATGGGTAACAGTTATCTTGCTGATATTAATTAGTTCAAACATAGCTAGGTGTACTGTGTATCAGCAAACTAGGATGACTACACGGTTCACACTTTTTCATGAGTTTAGAGAAATAATCTGCATAAATCCTTTGTTTTTAATAGAAGGGTGAACTTCTGGGCTGGAGGAAATTGTATCAAAGCAATATCAAAATTACAAGATTACTAAAAGACATTTAATTGACTGTGATTTCTTACTGGCAGTTTGATGACAAGAATAATGCTGTGACAGAGTTCTCTTATCCCCCATAGCTGTACCCATGCTGTTAACTTGTGTTGGATGTCTAGCAAGATCTACTTGTTTCTCACATTCATGGGTGGAAACGAGATAGTAGACAGGAATATGGGTATAAACATTATGAGGGGCATCTACTCAAATTAATGCTAGAGAAATACAACAGTCACAGCACTGATCGCATAGTATTGTCACAAAGTGTTGCTCATTTGAATTGTGCTGGCAGCTGTATTTTCAGATGCCCAAGCATTAAGTTCTGCAATTCCCTGGCTGAGTCTCTTCATGTCTCTAATATTCTCTCCTCCTTAAAAGTTACATCTTTGATCAATCTTTTAGTCTCCTGTCATAATATCTCATGAGGCTCAGTGTCAAATTTTCTATCACACCAGTGAAATGCCTTGGATGTTTTATAATGTTAAAGGTGATATATACTTACAAGTTGTTGTTGTGTCTACATTAGCAGAATACGGAGGGACAGGAACTTTGGTGACAAAATTGGAGGTTGCTACAATAAACAGAATGCATTTAATTAAAGAATTACTGATTGAGAAACTTTACTCCTGCAGTTCAGATGAACAGGTTAAAATGGTTCACAAAAATTCACATTAGGTCTAGTCTAGTGACTGATCAAACAAGAGAGTGTTAACAATCCAGGCACACCTCTCAGTAACTAAACACAAAAGGGAAAGTGAAAATACTTCAAGGCTTCAGATTCTTTCCTTACTACACAACAGAGGAGACAGTCAAAATGTCCAATTTTAAGCCAACACAAACATTTACAATTAGTCAGTATAAAAATTCTCATCCTATCATTGATGCCTACAACTTTGTACTGCTTCACCTAAAAAAAAATACACTGGGAAAAACACATCATTGTATAAGCAGGTACCCCATGTGAAAATGAAATTATAGTATATTCAATCTACAAGAAGAATCAATAGGGATTTAATCCTCTGCTCATGTCCCAACCCTGAAATACTCGGCTTTGAGGCCCCCTTTGATTGATCAGTCCAGCAGGAAGTAGCTTGAGTATCTAAGTCCTTGTTATTGAATTATGGGAGTGATGTCACCATCTGAAGCAGAACAAACACAGCTCCACCACTTTAAGCATTCTTCACTCTGGGGGTGGCTGCTCCTGTATTTCTTTCTTCACTGCAATAAACAGAAAAATATTAAAAAGCAAAACAAATATTCCATTATTTTAATTATTTGTTAACAATGATGGAACAAATTCTATGTAGGAAAATAATTAATTCTGTCATCCAAGCTGCATCTTGAATATTTCTGTTGCCCTGAATTTGACAGTTAATTTCAGGTTAATTTTACTAAATATGCAATGTTCCTGTTCGTAATGTAACGGTTACCAACAAGCCTCCCTGAGACCGTGACTGAAGCAATAATTTAATATATCAGTAATAAAGGACAGGGGAGCCCTGGGAGTTACACAGAACCATTGAGGTGTGACATCATTTGTTTACAATATCACGATGCATTGCTTTGAGCTGCTGTTCAATCACTCGGGAAAGGTAAAGACTGATCTTAATATATCGTTCACATTTGAGAACAGACAAATTTGAAATAAAAATAAGTGCAATGTTGGTGGATGTTTTTGCCACTTGATGGAAAAATTTATTAGTAGCCTGTTACTACTTGATGCGTCAGGAACATTCAAGTGAGTCTAAACAAAAAATCCGATGCAAGGCAGATAGCTTGGAAGGGTAGGAATGTCTTGCATGAGGCACTGAATGCTGTATGATCTTGGGACTAAATGTTCAGACGTGACATGCTTGTGAGAAGGACCCAGTCTTTGGAATGCACCAGAAGATGCACTGAAGAACAGGTTCCAAACATGGTCTATCACAGTATTGATATGGCACAGGAGAGCAAAAACACACACCGTATTACTACCAATTGAAAACTTTAGTTCAATGTTCTGATACATATGTTCTGCAATAAAGCTGCATGAAACATGCTGGCATAAGGTTACTGAAGTTAAAATACTTAAGTACATAAAATTGGAAATCTAAGAGAACATGGGATATTTTAAGTTTAGGTGATGATTCTTTAGTATATGGAAGAATGTCAGCGGAGGTAGGTTTCGAATCTTGTTTATTATAAGACATATGATATTTGTAATAATTTTGATAATCATTTAAGTAAAATAATAGGTAAGATTTGTGTAATGGGTAGATAAAAATGAACACATTATGGGAAACTGTTTCCATAGCACAGGTGTTTAGTTGTCTACTGTACACCAGGGACAAAGCATTTCAACAGCAGAAGTGACAGGTACTGCACCTTCAGCTTAAAAAAAAGCTGTTTGCCAGCTTAAAGAGAGCTCCAAGCTCTACTTGTTTCATGCATTTGTAACCTGTCACTATCAATGATCAGATCCTGTACACCAAGAGGCGCACAACTCAAATTCCAAAGCAGCATGAGAACCACCTCATACCCACACTGGATTAATTCATGCAACTTACTTTCATCTCTTGCTTTCATGCGAGCTATGAAAGAGTAACTCTTATTTCTTCGATAATTCTCATAGGGATCGTCAAGTGGGACACCCACTCCTTTATACTGGTCCCACTTATCACGAATCTCTCCTCCTTTGATTGGATCTTGAATGCCCTGTTCCTTTGCCCCAAGTCCGCCTGACCCGCTCCAGCCTAGAACGAACCAAAACAATCAAATGATTTTCTACCAAATACACAGTCAGTGGAAGTCCACACAGTGTTACAGGAACTCTAGATATCAGATTCTGAAGCCTCAATGACTTGAGTTTACACTGGTGTTGGTATTTTTTGCTCAGTGAGTTTAACTATTTACATTTCTCTGGTTAAATTTGTTAAGTTAGCTGACTCTATGAGAGTGTGGCTTTAAGTCTCTCTCAAATAACCAAAATGACTTTAAAAAAAATTCACATTGGCACTGCTGTAAGATATTACCATTTCAGCTGTACCTACGTCAGCCATGAAGACACAAGATTTGAACAGCCCAGGATGTTACCACTGCTGAGTCTTGTGTATCCACTAAGTAAAAGCAACTTCAAAACCACTCAACTATAAATTACAAAACCTTCATTGAATATAAACTACAATGTAAGGCCAATGTTTTGCTTTCGTAACACTATCTTGCCAAATTATTGTTAATAATTATTCTGGTAAAAATCCTCAGCCACCCTTTTGGCTTAGAGGATATAACATGAGACACCAAGTTCCTTAATTAGAATTACTGTGAAAAACTTGACTAGAAGCAGAAAAAGCAACCGTACCCATCTTCATTAACAGCTGATGTCCTTTGTTTTCTTCCCCTAGTCTCTGATCAGGAGTGAGGGTGACAGGACCACCTCCAAGTCCTGTTGTGGAACTAAAGGAAAACAGATGTCAATAAATTAATCCTAAAGCAGAGGTTCCCACAGGCAATCCTTCAGCAACAGCTGGAACAACTTGCAAGGATCTTTTGCTTTTGTAAAATAGAACAGCAAACAGCTGAATGCTGGAGTAATTTTAAATCCGGCATCAGATGCCTATCTTATGTTGATAAATTTTGGTGGAAAGGCTGACGTCATTTGAGAGTTGCCAAGGTTTGGAAAACATCAATGCTCAACTCAACTGTGCTGAACTTTGCTGATGATACAGGTGATCTTACAACAGTGGAGGAGTGACAACGAATAAAACTTGGGTACAAACCACTAACTGAGGGAAAAAAACTAGCTCAAGGTGACTAATGATTAAAAAAAAAATCAGCAAGACTCACATCAAAAGGCAAGTGCCTCAATCTACATCAGAGATGTCAGCAGTGAATTGAACAAACGGAAATGTTTTAAAACAGTCGCCTCAAATATTTGGGAATATGAGAGAGGAGTTTTAGTTTGAAAACGTGAGTACAGTGGCTGATGATTGGTACATAGTTATGGGACTGGACAAATATAAAGCAGTTTAAGAGGCAGATGTATCAAAACAGAAGCTGTTACCTGGACAAAATAGGACTGCAGAACATGAAGCCACTTAGGCTCATGGATGTGACCAGTGGGTGTACAATGTGGCTAAGACCTGCAGGTACAGGTGACAGTCATCCTCCTTTAACACATGATAAGCAGTAAAGCTCAACATTGTCATCAATTTTTATGCTGCAGAAATTATTGCAGGAGCCCACTTTTAGTCTGGTTGGCTCCACTAGGAGTGAGCTAAAGTCCACTGTTGTCATTCACAGTTACACACGCCTCAGGAAGTGTCAGCAGCAAACTCAACATTTCACATTTCAGGGAGAGGCATGCAAGAATTTTGACCTCTCATTAAGCTCTGAAATGGGTGGAATTAGCTTATTTTAGAAATACTGCTGAGACAAAAGGAAATTTCTTTTTCCTTTCACTGTCTGTCTCCAAATTTTTTTTTAGCCTTTTAGCCCCTTTGTCTCACTTTGTGCGGATCACATTCACCCTTCAAGTGCCATTAGGGATGGGCAATAAATGCTGGTCTAGCCAGCGATACCCATATCCTGTGAAGAAATAAAAGAAAAAAAAATCTCATGCCAACCTTTTCTTTCTTTCTCCTCCTGCAACTCTCAGATTCTCTTGGTTCTGTAGGTTTCTTAATCTCTGTACATTTTGTGTCTCTCTTTCCCTCCCTCCTTTTCCTCTCATCCCGTTGAGACCTGGAGACAGACTGAAGGCCAACAAAATGATCTTCTCTCCCTCTCTGGGTACAATGCCATTTCTCTACAATGCACCTCAGATCTCGGGAGTTCTTTTCAGAAGAACCTGATCACCACAGTAATACTTCAATCAAATCACAGACCAAAAGCTTCCTTCAGGAAGGATTGCCTCCCCAAAACCAGTTATTTAATTTAGTTTAGATAAGTAGGTAAATTAATTTGGACAAGACTAGGGGAGAGCTGCCTCCCATCTGAATACCGATCCTGTTGTCTCACTTTCAAATTATTCGAAGGGAGCTTGTAAAGGTCTGTACCACCAGTTCTGGCTTCTCATCCAACTTTCAATCTGGTCTAAATTCTGTTCTTTAACAAATCAAGCAAGAGCGTCCTAATACAGAGTGTTTTGTCAATGTCTTGTGGCTCAGGTTACTATTTTAACACAAGCTTGACATTAAATCAGTAGAGACTTTGTGTTATCAAAATAAAGAGAATCCACTACTTGGATTGAGGACCATCCTGAGGTGAAAATTCCAGCTTCAACACTAAAAACCTTTAGCTGCCAGATCAAGATATTTAGCTTGAAGTATGCCTCCAATAAAAACAAAGTGAAGTTTAATTCCAAGGATGGTGAAAACCAACATAAAACCCAAAATAACCCTGATTTTGCATAACAACTGGAATGAATTTCAGGACAATGTCAACCCTGTTTTGGTGCAGAATGGAATCTTTGAAGGGATAAGATAGATGCACACACAATCTTTTCTGTACAGGAAAGAAGCTATCAATCTGTTGCCAGGTCTGCTGGTAAAGGCCAATTTCCTACACAATAACAGACACTACACTCAAAAGTGTTTAATTGCCTGGGAATTGCTTTCTCCCGAGATCATGAAGTTGTCTTTTAAGTATAAGCTCTTTTGTTCTTTTCGGAATACGGCAGCCACTCTGCTAGGGTGCAGTCGCTAGCTAAATTCCTATTCATTTCATAAACAGACTCCCAAATAGACAATAATCCAATACTGTAAATGGTCTTAAGAAGCAAACACCACGCCTCAAACTTTTGACATCACAATATGGTTAAGGTAAACAAATTTACCATTGAACTTTTCTGTTACACTAAGCCTGCAACCGGAAAGAAGAACATTGAAGTAAGAACTTAAAATTTATATTAAATTCACAAAGGGTCTTCAAAGCTCATTCCCTACTAATCATTTGTGTTTATTCTTTACCGCAGCAAAATCTTGTAATGGATAATATGCTAATTTACATGAACTTACGGTGGAGTCTGGCTCCGTGACCTTGATACTCTCCTCTTTCCTGGTGAAAAGGAACGTGAACGTGAGCGAGAGCGAGAGCGAGACCTGCTCCGTGATGACCTTGACCTGCTGTGACTGAAGACAATATTATGGAGATTTTGATTCCTATTTTTTTTAGAGTCATAGATTCAGAATCATTCAGCACGGAAACAGGCCCTTTAGCCCAACTCACCCATGCCAACTAGGTTTCCTAAACTGAATGGGCCCCATGTGCCTGCATTTGGCCCATATCCCTCTAAACCTTCCCTATCCATGTACCTGTCCAAATGTCTCTAAAATGCTGACATTGTACCTGCCTTTACCACTTTCTCTGGCAGCTCATTCCATATATGCACTACCCTCTGCGTGGAAAAAGCTGCTCTTCAGGTTCCTTTTAAATCTTTCCCCACTCACCTTAAGCTCTAGTTCCTCTAGTTTTGAAATCCCCTACCCTGGGGAAAAGACCTTGGCTACTCAAATTTTAAATTTGAAGCCTATCATTGTATGCAGCAACATTTGAGTTAAGACTTCAAAAACATAAAACAAAACAAGGGGCATAACCACGTTAGTGGAGAAAAACGAGGACATACTGGAACTCCTGGTTCACACATCTGCAGTTAGGCATTCCAACTTTATTCTATAATCTAGAAAATTCTGAAATCCAGAAAGACCTTGGTCCCAAGCATTCCAGACTCGAGAGGTTACAGGATAGTTTATCTTCTCTTACCTAGAATGTGAACCGGAGTAAGAACGAGAACGTGAACGAGATCGAGACCGCGACCTTGATCTAGAATAAGAGCGGGAAGACCGTGAAGATCTTGAGCTTGAGCCAGAGGATGAACGCCTGCTCCGTGACCGACTCCGGGATTTTGATCGCCCACTGTGGGAAAATGGCACAAATCACTTTCTGGATTAAATATAACTTGATTATTTTTCTTCTATAGAATCTTTTCCAACAGAGTTTTCATCTCCAACTCCTCACTCAGCAAGAGTAGGACAATCAAACTACAATCAACTTTATTGTAAATGCAAAATGAAGTGCATCAAATCATTGCATATCACACTGTTTTTAGATTTATGTATGAGGAACCCTATCACTATGTCACCACCCACCTGACTCCGACATCTACATCACTTTTTCATTGTTACTGAGCCAATATGGATTCCATAACCTAATACCACTGCAGAAATTCTACAATGAGGAATCCAGTGATTCAGGAAAGAAAACACACCACCACTTTCTTAGTCAATTAGATGAGACTAAATGTGACGTTAAGAGCATCGTCATACACAGAGGAAAAAAAATCACAGACACAAAAATGTCTAGATGGGAGTGTTGCTGGCTGTGCCAGCATTTATTGCCTATCCTACTTGTCCTTTAGAAAGTGGTTAGTGGTGAGCTGCCTTCTTGAACTGCTGCAGTCCACATGCTGTATGCAGACCCACAATGCCCTTAGGGAACGAATTCCAGGATTTTGACTCAACAACACGGCGACATATTTTCAAGTCAGGATGATACAGGCTTGGAGGGGAACTTGCAGTTGGTGTTCTACATAGTGCTCCATCAGGTTCCCCAAATGGGGCAACACTCACATTGCTGTAGCAATTCTCATAGCACATCTACTTACAGATACATGATAAATTTATAGCAAATTTCCTTCTTACTCCAAGGGTGGTGGGAGTGTCTAAAGTGTGTAGTTCTAAAGTGATGTTCACCAGCTGCTTAGAAGTATTTGGAGCTACTTTATATTTTGTTTGGAAAATGTCCCAAAAATAGGTGCACTAGTGCATCCAAGGATACAATGGTCAGCTGGCATCAGACCAACTCTTTAACACCTCAAAACTGGATAATTTACTCTTTTTTTAAAAAAACTGAATGAATAGTGAAGGATTATATTGCACAACCAGGAAGCTCCTGGCCCCAGCTATAAGTTGTGTAGATTTAGCTGATTCTAGAGTGAAGGATATTCTGAGTGGCCTCAGCACAGTTAGAAGCATAAGAACCATTGTTCTTTGCTCCTGATTGCTTTCTGCTAACATCAGCTTGAAGTGCAAGCATGGACAGTGGGCGAGGACAGCTCACGCTTGATATGAAATACTCTGTTGTGAGATAATGGAGGGTATAAGTCACAGATAGAACAATGGTCTCCGTCAAGGATTCAATATTTTTGAGAGAGCAGGAGGCAAGATGAGAAAAATAATGGAAAAATAGAAGCAAAGACTGAAACAGCATGAATATTTTGCCATTAGATGTCATTAGTTCTTTTAATAGATACTGTAATCTGTCACAGAAGCAGCACACAGCAGGTTGTTTGACCAACCAGCCTATGTTGGTAATAATCATCACAATGAGCAAAAGGTCCTAAACCCATATTCCAGCCCCTTTACCTCAATTTTTTAGTCCACTTTTTTAAACAATTTGGCCAATTTATTCTTAAATGTTGACATTGTCTTTGCTTTAATCATTAGATCTGGCAGTGAATATCAAAGTCTCTCAAACGCTCTGCAAAATCATCTGTCTAAATCTCCTGCTCAAACCTGAAAAACACACAGAAGGTGCCAAGACAGTGTATCATGTCCACACTAACCGCTTCTCCGCTTTGACTCCACTACTGGTCTCATGGGGTTCCAAACGGGGTCCTGGTTTCATAGTTCCAGGTGTAGATGTGCTTGGACCCCCCCTGTATCAAGATTGTTGGGCAAATTGGATTACAGGTTACATTATCAATAAATCTCTCATATATGCAGTTACACATTTCATAGTCATACACAATCAGGTATTTTTCTAACACAAACTCTGATGCGTTTCCACAACTGGAATTTAAAAGAAAGTCAAAATTCTAGATATTTCAGGGATTTTACAGTCAAGGGTCACAATATACATTAATGATTCGGACCATGGAATTGAATACCATATCTTCAAATTGGCAGATGACACTTAGCTGGGTGGCAGCGTGTGCTGTGAGGAGGATGCTAAGAGGCTGCAGGGTAACTTTGACATGGTGGGCAAATACTTGGCAAATGCAATATAATGTGGATAAATGTGAGGTTATCCAATGTGGTGGCAAAAACAGGAAGGCGGATTATCAACTGAATGTCGGCAGTTTAGGAAAAGGTGAGGTGTAATGAGACCTGGGTGTCATGGTGGAAAAGTCGCTGAAGGTTGGCATTCAGGTGCAGCAGGCAGTGAGGAAAGCTAATGGCAAGCTGGCCTTCATATCGAGAGGTGAGGTGTTTATAAACTGACATTTTCCCAGCCACCATCAGTTCTGAGGAAGGGTCACCGGACCCGAAACGTTAACTCTGCTTTCTCCTCCACAGACGCTGCCAGACCTGCTGAGCTTTTCCAGCAACTTTGTTTTTGTTCATATCTAGAGGATTTGAATAAAGGAATAAGGATGTCTTGCTGCAGTTATATAGTGCTTTGGTGAGGTTACACCTGAAATATTGAATGCAGTTTTGGTTTCCTAGTCTGAGGAAGGACATTCTTGTTATTGAAGGAGTCCAGCAAAGGTTCACCAGACTGATTCCCAGGATGGCAGGACTGACATGTGAAGATTGGAATGACTGGGCTTGTACTCACTGGAATTTAGAAGAATGAGGGAGGAATCTCAAATATATAAAATCCTGATCTGACTGGACAGGCTTAAATGCAGGAAGAATGTTCCCAATGTTGGGGAAGTCCAGAGGTAGGGGTCACAATCTAAGGATAAGGGTTAAACCATTCAGGACTAAGACGAGGAAGAATTTCTTCACTCAGAGTGTAGTGAACCTGTGGAATTCCCTAACACAGAAAGCTGTTGGGGCCAGTTCGTTAGATATATTCAAGAGGTAGCTGGATGTGGCCCTCATGGCTAAAGGAATCAAGGGGTAGGGGACACTGAAATTTCATGATCAGCCATGATTATGTTGACTGGTGATGTAGGCTCGAAGAGTCGGATAGCCTACTCCTGCACCTATTTTCTATGTTTCCATGTCATAAAACCTTTTAGAAGATCAAGCACAGGAACAAGATCCTGTTACCCCAGCAACAAATGCTGTTGTCATTACTTGCCTAATTACTTAGTGAAGACGGAGAGCACAGAGTGATGAACTGTATTATTTTTTGAGTCAATAACAGTGTGGACTCCCTGGTTATGTGGTTCTCTATACTGAGGCTAATTCACTTCCTTTGCAGCTAGGAACATACCAAACCTGCAATTTCTCTCAGCTAAATCACTGGCTATTATTTAAAAGATGAATCCTATTGCTTGGAACGACTAGGTAATGAAAGGAAAAGGCCCTTTATAATAATAAATTGCAGATATGTCAGTCATTCTCCAAATCATAAAATCATACAATCCTTACAGTGTGGAAGTTGACCATTTGGCTCATCGAGTCCATATCAACCCTCTGAGGAGCATTCCGCCCAGACCCACACCCCCTACCCTATCCCTGCATTTCCCATGGATAATCCACTTAGCCTGCACATCCCTAGACACTATGGACAATTTAGCCTGGCCAATCTACCTAGCCTGCACATCTTTGGACTGTGGGAGGAAACCAGAGCACCCGAAGGAAACCCACACAGACATGGGGAGAAAATACAAACTCCACACAGTCGCCCGAGAGTGGAACTGAACCCAAGTCCCTGGTGTTGTGAAGCAACAGTGCTAACCATTGAGCCACTGTGCTGCCCCTAGATGTTCATTAGATTTAGAAATTGCATTTTTGGATTGGAAAATTGCAAACATCATTTCATTAGTTAAAGTGGGGGCCTTGAAAACAAAGTCATGTTTCAGTTGTACAGAGCCTTAGTCAGGCTATATGTGAATTATCGCATTCAGTTTTGTGCACTCACACTTAATAAAATCAAAACAGTGTGGGGCTGGAGGAACACAGCAGGTCAGGCAGCAACAGAGGAGCAGGAAAGTCGATGTTTTGCGTTGGGACCTTTCATCCGGTCTGGTGTCCTGATGAAGGATCTCAACCCGAAACGTTGACTTTCCTGTTCCTCTGATGCTGTCTGACCTGTGTTCCTCCAGCTCCACGCTACATTGACTCCGACTCTGCAATCTGCAGTTCTTACTATCTCACATTTTATTAAATATGTTCAGTACAGATTTATCAGAATGATATAATGATGCAAAAGGTTAAGTTTAAGTCCAACTTGCTGGAATTTATCTTGTATTTCCTTGATTTAGAAAATTGAGAGATGATCAAATTTAGATGCTGAAAAAGTTAAAAGGATTTAATCACAGATTTGATTAGTTCCTTTAGTGGGTAATCTGGAACAAGCAAGCACGAATTTGAGTTTAGACATGAGCAATTCAGAAGGGAAACCCTTCCTTTTTCATACAAAGTATTTTAAATTTGGAATCGTTTTACGAAAACTTGAATCTGAGGTTCTCCGGAGTCTAAGATTACGATTATAATTGTGGATATGAAGCTAAGGATAATAAATGGATTTGAGCTGTCATTCAGCTTCAGTCTGACATGGGGGTGTTTGGCCTGTCCACATTCCAACCTATTAACTGGCAATGACTGACATCATTGTTAGCCAATAACAAGGTAACCAGAAAAATATAAAATTAAGTATTAGACAGGTTTGATCATGCAATTTTTCACCATTTTAATCCAAATTTTCATCCCATTTCTCTCCTCTCTGAATAAACACTCACCTGTTCCTCTTTTCTTGCCCCTTTTTCCTCCTGGCTCGCATTTTGGCTCGGAAAAATTCATACAGTCCGTTCTGCTCCCAACCTTCACTGCACAAGGAAATCATAATTTATGAAGGTGAAACAAGTCCAAGTGAACAACTGTCATATTAAATCCAGAAACTAATAGCAGAGATTTTCACTTTTCCTTGTACAAAAATAATAGAGATATGGATAGAGGTGGGTAAATGTAGCAAATGTTGGAGAACACCGCAAAATGATGCCTACAGAACAGGCAAACATGTTGTAACAGAGTTTAAATGGATAAATGTGGCTTACAGTTTGGGAAAAAGAACACAACTGAAATAATAACTTTTACCATCAATTTCGTTAATAGTAAAATGAAGGAACAGGGTAATTGAGGAGTTACCGATTCATGGACGATAGAATCATGTAGCAAAGAATGAAGTCATTTGACCAATTGTGTCAACACTAGTTCCGCGAATTACCCAATTGGTCCTATTTTCCTATATGCCTGCAATATTTTCATTTGAAGTATATATCCAATTTCCTTTTTACTGATGCACATTATTTAAAAGCAGATTGCAGGTGGCAATGACATTAAAAGCAAAAGTGAGACTCAACACGAAAGTGGTAAGATGACGAAAATGAAAAGACACTAACGTAGGCATACATTAGTACTGTAGCATTTGCCACTCTATAATAGAAAAACAATGGAACCTATGGAAATGCTACAATGTAAATTTACTATAAGATAAAGATAATACAACAAAATCATAAAAGACTTGAGAAACGTACGTGAGTTGAGAGTAGGATCCGGGGAAAGTTTAAAGTTTTGAACAGTCTGCATTGTAAACAGTGCAAGTTTTTCACTGACAATTTAATGTTATGCTATCAGAGCATGCAACAAAGTAAAAAAAGGTGTTTACTGACAGAGCCGTTCACCCTGTTTTAGATATACAAGTTGCAATAGGAAAAACATCAAAACATACAGAAATAAAGCTAGAAAAATGAAATAGAAGTACATTGTAAACCTGGTACTGGCATTAAATTTGTAAGGTATCGATAGAAACCAAGAATCCTAAGTTTTACTAAGATCTTTACATAGAATTCACCTAGGCAGCAGAATAAAAACACAGGGTGGGGGAAGAGAGAGAAAGCTCGATAAATTAACCAAATGTAGAATAGGTAAAAGCCTCAATTGCATTCTACCTGTACCAGTAAAAGTCTGATGAAGATAGCAAAGGCACTTTTACACATAGATAAGTATTAAAAACTCATTAGGTAAAGGATAGTGCTAGAGGACTAGCAGGTAGCTAATGCTAATCCTGAATCTTAAAAGGGAGACAGAAAATTTAGGCAAGTCTGCTTAACATCACTAGGAGTACAGATTCCATTATCTTTCCTACAGGACAGATCTGTAAACATCCTAAACATCTACAAACTGAACATTAGTAACAAATAGCGCTGATTTCAAAAAGGAAAACCCATGCTTGACCAAACTCAAGTTTTTTGAAAAAAATATGAAAAAGGGTAAACAAGGTTAATACAATGGGTGCAACATATTTGGATTTATAAAAGGGCTTCAATAGACTGCCACATGATTCATGATTAAGTTTTCAGAGTATGTTGTCAGGAATCTGTTGCCAGCAGACAGGATAACAAAAGAGATAACAAGGTGTAGAGCTGGATGAACACAGCAGGCCAAGCAGCATCAGAGGAGCAGGAAGGCTGACGTTTCGGGCCTAGACCCTTCTTCAGAAAAT